TGTGACATGGAGGCCTTTCTCAACTAGAGATTGTTTCAGAGTTGAATCAGACTCATAATGGTTTCTACGATTCCCTTTTGAAGAGGCCTCACGTTAGAGTCATTGCTTGGTTTCTCATCATCAGCAGGCACCTCATATCCAATGGCTTTCCATGCTGGGTTCTCACCATTTTCATCAACCTGCAGGGATCAAAACTTTGGATTCAATGGATTTCCGTTCTGAGAATTTTAATGCAGTCAGGTATGAGTGTATGTAATTCATGAGCGGAATGGAATGGGATGATAATACATAAAAAGATGGAAGGAGGTTGAAGAATACCCAGGAGAAATAAACTAAGAGGCATAAGACTTTGACGTAAGCAAAAGCGAGTCTGATAGGAGTGAGGAAGCGATGCTGGAGCCAGCTCTGAACAACCTTCTCTCGTTTGTGCAAAGGGATGCCTGAGAAATTGTTGAGGAAGGGCCATCTCTCACTGAAACACAGAGATCCACAAAGCAACAATGTGCCTAGCCTTGTCGAGAGAAGCCATAGAATCACTCTAACCAGGATCACTGCTTCTATCAAACCTCTATTCGCTAACTTTTCTGCAACCTGCAGCCCTCTCCTTATAAATCATTATTATACGGCTTATCTAACAATTAATAGATTAAAATGATTATGGTTTTGAAGGAACAAATTAATATTTTTATAGTAAAAAAAGGGGGAATCTTGAGTGCCATTTGTTATGGTTTTGTTATTATTATGCAATTATATTTATTTTTTGGTAGTGAAGATACAATGATTATTTTCATGCATAATTTTTTAATATTTTCTTTTTGATTATGTTTTTATTGTGTGAATTAAGAAAAGTGGAAATGCATGGTTCAGTCCTAACAGATTTTTCATTGAAATTATGTCAATTGTCTGATTGTAAAATTGCATAAATTTAAATATGAATCACTGACACAAACGGATAAATATTTATATGGCTTAAAGAAATAATGCGGCCCTATTCAGTTTCCAAAAACAAATGAATAAATTAAATCGATCGATAGAGGTTTCTTTATTTGGTAATTTTATTACACATGCGCGTCCAAACATGAACACTTATTACATAATATTACTTTTTATCCTAATTATAAAATCACGTTTGTAGATTACAAATAAAGTTTTATAATTAGAACCAGAAGATTACATGATAGGCCAACACTAATTCACATGCAAGCCAAAACTGGTTTAACACTTTAACAAATAGGCGAATTAAATTGACTGGGGCATAAAATAGGCCAATTATGTGAGTACAAGTACAACGTCAACATATGGCTCTAATTTTTTATTATTATTTTAATGGAAAAAATTGATTATATATTAATAGAGGATAACTGCTTTGAAAAGACTTCAAATTAAAGAAATATGGTGGGACACCACAAAGAAAACTACAACTAGAAAGGAGGAGAAATTTTAAAAGTGTGTGAAGTTTATTTTCTTTCACTTCGATTAAAAAAAAGAAAGAAAGAAAGAAAGAAGAAATGGTGAAATTAAACCAACACAAAGTCATGCTAAAAGTTAAAACTTTACACAGAAACAGTGTCATGCCATATGCATGGCCTGTGTTTCTAATGAATTCATCAGAAACCAAACAAACAGAAACTTTCCTTTTTGATACAAAGTTGCAGAGAAAGATCAGAAATGAAGAAGACAGGGTAGGTACGTACCAGATGAGGGATGGGATGGTGAGAAGCAGAAGAAGCCCAGAAGGATGAAAGAGGCTTAGAAGGAGGAGTCTGAGATTGAAGAGCCTCCAAAGGCAAAGAAGGCAACAAAACCTCACATATGCTTCCCAGTGACTTCATCTCTCCTTCTGTGAACCCATGTCTGTATTTCCTCTCTCCTCCTCCTCCTCCTCTCAACAATGGATGACTCTCTCTCCTCATCTCTCTCTCTCTCTGTGTGCTTGTGATCAATAACACAACGTGTGCTTGAGGGTTTGTGTATGTGTGTCTATATATACTAGAAATCAGGAAGAAGGAGTAGTTTATCTGTAAATATAATGATGGTTGGGAGTTGAGGAGGAAGACAGGAAAAGGAAAGAAAGTGATGGGACCTCCACTTCTCTAGAATTTACATTTCTGAGTTATGTGATTTGTGAAAGAGAGGAAATAATCAAGTTTTGGAGTTTCTGGAACCATATTCTGATACATGCTGCACAACAGGGGCAGGATACTTTATTCTTTGGGTTAGGTATAAAGTCATAACATTACACAAAACAAGAACAAATGGACAAAGTTAATCACATGTATGTATCACTGTTTGGGGGTTAATTTTAATTTTGACCAAAATAAGCAAAAAGATGATTATGTGAATGTGAGCAACCATGTTAGGTGGCTTTAACTAAATTCTCTTTGGTTTTAACCCCACCACCATTGCATTTGCATGTCTCTATTGTGTCCTTTAATTCTTTCACAGCTCCTTTTAAGTTAAAATAATTTTAGAAAAGGCACTATCAAGTATCAAATCATGCATATGATGGTAAATATAAGGTAAATATTTATATAAAAAATAAGGAAAATTTTGAAAAAGTCTCCAATTGAAAATTCTACTGGTGAAAATGATTTAAATCAAAACACCACGACTCTGTCTATGCCAAATTTGTAAATGTGTATCAAAATTTATCAAATCATTTCTTACCAATAAAATTTTTAATTCAATTTTCCCCCTTTTCCAAAAAAAAATGTCTCCTCTTTCAAATACAATCGTATCCATCCATCGCTATAACGATTGACCAAGCACCCTCATGCACGCAATGTATATGACCTTAGTAAATATACTTGTTAAGTTGTTATTGGTTGCATATATATGACCTTAACGTTTTCTTTAGGAGAGAACTAAACGACTTTGCTTTAATCGGCCCACATGCATGCACACATATATATAATATAACCCACTGTGTCCTAGATGTTTATATCCCACAATTAATAAATAAGATTATGGGAAGGTTCCTAGTTCCTACCCTGGATTAAATTGTGATGGACAAATTTGAACCAAAACGATGGAACTCTTCATTCATAAGCAAAATATCTTTGGAGTTATTTTACAAAATGAAGAAAGTAGGCTAAAGTATACATTTAGTCATTTAATTTTATGCAAAGTTTTAATTTAGTCTCTTAACTTTAAAAACATACATTTGGTCCTTTAACCCTAAAATCATTAGGCTTTAATGATGATTTTTTTGTAACAATCATAGATGTTTTGAAAACTAAACTTAATATGTTAGCATTTGAAAATATTTTATCAATATTTAAGATCTTAATATCATAATTTTTTTAAAAATCTTTAGAGTTAAAGGACTAAAAGTATATTTTTAAAGTTAAAGAATCAAATTAAAATTTTATACAAAGTTAAAGAACTAAATGTATACTTTAGTCAAGAAAGTATCATTTTAGGTTTACAATATAATATCCATAATTGAAAACGTTGACATTTCTTTTATTCATGACACGATGTTTGATTTATTCAAATTAATTATCGATATAACATGTCCGTCTCTTTAAAATTGAGATGCGATTTATTGTCCATATCCTCAACTTGCTCTGGTTGGTAGAAAATCATTCATCTAACTCATTATCCGGCTCAGGCAACAAAAAAAAAAAAACACTTTTTTAATATTAAAAAAATTGGTACCAAAAAAAAAACTCATTAAGAAATCAAAATCAACATTGGGCATTAAATTGAAGTTCGAAATCCATCATTATTAAGGCCATGCCTTAAAAGTCATACTCATGATCAACGCAATGCAAGCCATCATATTCAATATTTTTGGTTTTAATATAGATTAATTTAATTTTCAGTGATACGGTGTGTGTGTGTGTGTCGAATATTTTTAACATTTTGTAAAGTACAAGGAATTAATTTAAATAAATGTTGAAAAAGGCGATGTACCATATAAATTATTTTCTCATGGAAAAACAAGCTTCCTTATGTTTGGAATAGAATGAGATACTACATAGTATCATATTTATACATTTATGTATGTCCTCATTAAAGCAAGCACCATTTTTTCAATATTATATAAACATTCATTACTCTAATATTATTTTTCTAGTGCATTCAGTATCCCTTAATGTTATCTTTCAGTTAAATCCATCATCGTAATTTTATTTATATTTTAGGATATTAGATACAATATAAATAAGATTAGGACCAAAAAATAACATTTGGCTGTTGTTATATATATTATAAAAAGATTAGGATACTGGATATAAATGAAAAATAACATTAAAGTGTTAAATGTTACCATACCTGTTAAATAAGAAAAGTTGAAAAAATTCCTAATTGACAAATTTAATTGGAGAACGATACCTAAACAGTAAAATGCTACTCCTCCGGTCCTTAATATAGGACCCAATTAGTGAGTTGGTTTTGGTCCTAAATATAAGATCAATTTCTCATATTTATTAATTTTCTCTAAATTACCCCTATAGATATTCCCTCAACTATAATCAAGTAGAAGAGGGAGAGAGGATATTAAGAAAGATGATTATGGTGTTTTAGGAAAAATGTGTCACTTTTCTTATAATTAACTAATTTACCTAACTTCCTTAATCTAATCAAATTAGTTAAATGGGTCTATATTAAGGACGGGAGGAGTACGTTTTATATTTTTTATATCGAAAAGGAATAGGTAGTACCATTCACCAGTTGATTTTAATGAGAGAATTTCTCCCAATTTCTCCGATTAAATATTAAACAAAATATATTGGTAATATCTGATGCTTTCAGTTAGGCATAGTAGTCAGATTTCACTTGCCATACACGTTAGGTACAAGCCTTAATAATGTAATATTGTGACTAAAATTCTTTTAAAAAGAAAAACAAAATTTTACCTACCCTTGTGAATTAAATTTCATTTTCCGCTTTGTTCTAAAAGTAAAAAGTGGAAACAATTGGATTGCATGAAATATTAACGGGGTAAATGACAATCAAAGTGAACTTGGACGATAACACTATCAAATGAAATTTGTACAACATGGGCATGGAGAAAAAGTTAAGAAAAAATCACAATTAAAAACCTTAAAATTTGAAAAACAAAGATAGGGACTCATGATAATTTTACTATAGCTTTTGACAATAATAATACGTCATGAAGTTGTTAAAATCCATACTGAAGTTATTGCGGGTCTTTATCTGTGTTTTTCAAATTTCATGGTCTTTTTTGTGATTTTCCCAAAATTAGACTAAATGTCCTATATTCACATATTTGCATAGTCAAAGAAATTATGATACGAAGTTGCGTTGTTATGAATTTAAGGATCACTATCATCTCTATATTTTCCGTAACCTTTCATGAATGCTATGGAAAATTATGGCCGTAAATATGAAAGCGGTAAGGGCAAAAAAGAACAAAAGCAAAACCTAAAGGGCCATATGAGTATTTAATGGCCCATTTTTTGCCGGCATTTAATGGCAATTTATCAAAACCAACCTCATTTACTTGAGGGGCCATGGATACTTAGCAAGAGCCCTGAACGAGTTGAAGGGACCCATACTTAGCAAGAGCCCTGAACGAGTTGAAGGGACCCACTCTGATGGGGTAGGCCCTTTAGTATCGTAGGCCACTGTAACAATGTCGATATGTGAACAGTATTCCTTCCTGCTCAAAATATATACTAAACTTTATAAATTACGTCTATAAAAAAACTAATTAAAATCAATTTAAAATAATAAATATGTAAGGTATATATATTTTTTTCTTAATATACTATTATTAATAAATAAAATAATAAGTAAAAGAGATAAATAAATAAAAGATGAGAGAGAATATATCAGGATAAAATTAAAAAAACTTCATTAAATACTTAGACAAAAACCAATGTTATCTTATAAAAAAACCAACATTTTAAAAAAAATTTAGCTTATATTTTGAACCGGAGGGAGTTTTTTTTTTTGTTCAAACGTATCCTTCTATAAAAGATAATCCTATTCGGGGCACTTTTCAAACACTAAATGTGGACACTTCTCCTGATGAAGATTCGAACATTGGTTCATTACATCGTAAGAGGTTAGCTTCTTTCACTAAACTCAAGTCCCATTGGCTATTTATTTATTTTTGGTTTAGGAGTATTTTATGCCAATGGTGAAAACTGATATTTTTTGAGATAGGAGGAGCAAATATATATATATATATATATATATTCAAAGTTTACAACTTTACATCAAGCGAATCCACCTTTGAGCAAATTTACGTTGCATGTTAAAGTTGCAATTATTAGCAGTCATTGAAGGCTGATTTCGAGGGTATAAGAAGAGAAGGAAAGGTGAAAAACTGCTCTATTTTTCCCCGGGGGGGGGAGAAAGAGAGAAGAGCACTATTATGAATCAAATTCCAAATATATTTTTTTTGCCTTCAAAATTCCAAATATTTAATGCAACTAATTTTGCCTTCATTGATGGCATCCACGTTGCATGGTGTTAAAAAATATAATAAATGAGAGGGAAAAAATCATTTAGTGCAACTGCCACTAATAAGTAAGACGATCATTAACACCACGGTTAGAAAGTAGAAAGAAAGCTCAATTATCCAGAGATTGGACTCGATTGAGGGGCCGTAAGAATGGAAGAATATTACACAAAAGGGTTGAGCAATAACTGAGTATATCTTTATGCCCACGTCATGTTAAATAGAGAAATTGACATGAGTATAATAATTTATATTTAATAAATAATATTTTAAATTTAAATCTTATGAATTTAGAAGAAAAAAAATTCCAATGGGGATGCAACACCATTCACATTTAAATTAATATTATTTTTCACAGGGCTGTAAAAAAAAAAAATTCAAATGAAGTGAGAACTGAGAAGTCCATCCCACGTCTTTTCTAGAAACTGTAAAGCTAATCATATGTGAAGGCGAGTGAAAGAAAGAGACAATATAAAACGGAAGAGTTGTCAATGAATAAATCATTATGGAATCATAATTAAGTGGTCCGCTTATAACGAACCTACTCTTCCTGGTGTGGCCCAGATAGGCACCGAAGTGGATTTGTAATCACTTCACCAGTTAGATAAGAAAAGCGGTCACCATCTCTTCATTTGTCACTTTTACGAACCGACCCATTCTCTAGTTTAATGGAGGATGCAATTGTTCTGGTAGAATCCACGGTTCTTAGTCTCCGAGCCTTAACCAAGCTCAAAGGCTGTTGGAGTACATATCCATGTGTTTGGTTTCCTAGTACCTATATTTTCAGCTTTCCAGTACAATGATTTTTTCGGAATCAAGGGAAAGAACTCTAAACTTGAAATATAGCAAAACTTGTTTTACAACTAAGCCCCACTTCAGAACAAAAAATTTCATGGCACTCGTGCATTCAAAAACTTTAACACATACAGGCTAAGTTTAATCTTTGGAAGCTTACGCAAAAACATCCATATATTTTACAGCATCCCCTCAAGTGGAAAACTTAAATTTAGCATCTTTAGACCGCATAGAAGGGACTTTAATTTAACTTAACTTATTAGTGGGGAAAGGAAGCAGCAAAAGCAAATGCTTTTTGAATCCCTGAGCAGATTCCTGTCTGTAACATTAGAAGTGCCAACAGACCGTAGAGAGAAATGCCCCAAGACTACGAGAGCTGCTTCCACATAGCTGGTCGATCTCTTGATATGAGGAGTACACGAGAGCCCAGATAATCAAAGGAAGGCCAATATAAGTCATCTGGCCCAATGACTTGGTTGACCATCTGAGTATTAGTGGAATCCATATCGAAAGCCCGCAATGGCTCATCTTTTAATGCATCAAACACAAATAGCCCAAGCCCACAGACGCCCATCACAAAGTTAGAGTTTCCCCAAACCTGTGTGATTGCAGAGTGGTGAGGATGTGCATTGGATTCTGGCATAGCATAGCTGTTGAAGAGCCCTTGTTTACGCAATGAGAATTGTTGCACCATCGATGAGGACTGCTTCTTGCCAATGGAACTTGAAGTTGAGCAACCAAGAAAGATTGAGTCTCCACGTGAGAAAACTGACTGAATGTTCACCCCATGTTTTGATATCCGAAGACCCACACCAGATGGCTGGCGGAAGTCCAAGACGTTGACAGCGTCTGAAGTGCAGAACACACCATCGTTTCCTTCAGCTTCTGATGAGCTCGCCCTGATATTATGTGGAAGGAATAAAGCGACTATGTCATGAACAGTTTGATTGAAGATAATATCAAAACAACAGGAACGAAATATTAGGAGGCAAACAAATTAAGTAGTTGAGGTACAATTAAAACCAAGACGCAGACAATTTCATTGCAGAGTGACAATAGTATAAATGCCAATATATGAACGAATAGAGGGGCTTTCACAAACAATTTCATTCAAGATAACACTAGGACAATATGAACAAAATGCCAACGGGCAAAAAAGTGACCAAGAGATGCTGAGACAAATCAAAAGGTAAGAATGTTAAAGGTTCAAACTCACCTTTGCCGAACCCCTCCACCCAGCTCTGCATCTGTATTACTCACATGTAGAGCAGAAATTTTTTGCCCAGATACAGGAATAGACAGCAGGGCTTGAGGACTAAGTGAATTCACATCCCACAAAGAAATTGTTTCTGCTTCGGTTATCACAACTTTCCCTCTGTTTCTCCACTGCAAAGGACTGGAATAGTCCATTGCAAGAACAGGTTTCTGAACCTCCCATTTCATGACTTGTTCTCCATCACGAATATCAAAGACTTTTACAGCTCTCTGAGAGGTCGCAGTAGAGATAATCAGAGGTCCACAAGGTCTATACCACCATTGCCTGGTTTCAGTGGCCAAACTGCCGGCTCCAGAATTTCTTTGCACAATGTTATTGGACAAGGGTCGAAGAGCTGTCCTAGAGGCGGCTGTTCCGAACTCTAGTTGGAAAGCGCGGAGATCCTTGGTGTAAAAATCCCAAGAGCAAAATCCTGAATCCATAGTATTGCCAGCAGATGCAGCAACTACAAACCTTCCTGAGCAACCGTCGGAACCAGGAGCACGAATTATCCAACAGTCTCTCCACGTGTTAGGTGAAACTCCAGATGGTGGCATATATGAAGCCTTTTCCTGCAAAGATAGTGAACTGTGAGCAGGCACAATGTTTGTTTAAGGTTACAGAAAGAATACGAATCTATAAGCATAATTCGTTACGAAAATGTAATCAAAGATGCAATTGGTTTCAGGAAAAATATGAATATCATATAGGGAAATTTGATCATTTATTTATTTGATCGTTTAATTTAATGAAGAATATGGAGCAACAAAATCAACTAACTGAAATATGAATTACCAGTATTTCCTTAGAACGGAGAACGGCTGGCAAATATAAAGCAACTAAAGAAGGAAACTTTTTTGAACCCGATTACGGAGCATGCATAGCATGGGGCATAGTGCTTACATTTAATGACTAATGACGTGTATAATCTGTAACGGCTTACATACCTCTCGATTCGCGATATCATAATATGAACACGAACCATCATCGTGAGCAATGAGGACAGCCTCCCCTTCAGACACAAACCATCCTCCTACGGCTGTCTTATTTCCTATATCATTCAGCGAATAAATGAAATCATCTTCTGTCTCTTCATCAATATATAGCCCTTGCGTGTTTTCTTGATCATCAAACTCTTCAAGCTTCTCATCAGTTGTGAGAAGTAGCTCAACATCACACTTCTGATTGAAGGCAGATGAGGAGTCTTTTGTTTTAGCAGGTGCACCAGCGCCTGTTTCTTTAACTCCACAATACTTCATATCAGCTTCTCCATCTCTTGATTTGACATTACCTGCCTCTTTATTAAGGTTAGACAAGAACTCTTGTGCTATCTTGCTCTCCTCAATAGGGCTCAGCTCCTTTTCTTCCACCTTTGCTCCAATATCATCTTGCTTTTCCCTGAATTCATTGCTCCGAAAGTTTTCCAATGATGCTTTATTCGACGTTCGATTCTGAAGTAACTTGCGATGAGGAAATAATCTAGCTTCCAATTCCTCACTGTTCAATTCTTTGGCCCCGCGTTTACCCTTGTCAACTTGCTTATTTTGACTATCAATAACCATATTGGGTTCTTTGTTATCATTTGCATTGCTTTTCAAGAACCCTATTTTAGCATTTGAATCACCAGCTACGTGATCTATTGCCTTCTCAATACCCGAAATTTTGTCTTGGATGTCTGAAAGTATGATCTTTGATTGATCAGGGTTATTCAAATCCAGCATCTCCTTAGTCCTCCTAATATCGGACGCTATTCTCTTGACCTTCCCCTCTAAGAAAGCAAGCTTTTCATGAAGTCTGCTGGGATATTTACATGTAACCCCACTACTGGAACAATCACCCCCCGACTCCTTCTCTTTTGGAATGTCCAAAACCTTAGCCTCACCATCAGAATTTCCAACAACCTCGGTAGAAGATGAATTTATGTCATTGCCAGTCTCTTCTAAATCAGAACACTGCCCTGGATGCCCACCCATACCAATATCGGTCGGATTTTTTGACTCAGATTCAGAATGGACCTTCTCACGGTATATCTGCAGATCTCCCCTGTCATGACTTGCACTTGATTTCACAAAAGATTTATTATTTTCACTTTCTCCGACTTTGTTTTCCATTACTCCGCCATTTCTACTCTTAATCCCTGAATTCAAAATCTTTGTTGCACTTTCCTCAGTATGCCCTCGAAATTTTGCTTTACTACCAACCTGCGCGCTTCCTTTGACGCTCAAATCTCTATACCCTTTTGCCTGATTAGAAACTCTCAGACCCCTACTCCCACTGAAAGCAGAACGGTCAGGTTCTGCGACCGACCCCTTAACGACCCGATCCACTGAAACCCGCCTATCTTTTCGGGTATCCGAAAACACCCTGGTAAAGTCAGAAGGGCTAGAGCTCCTACCTCGAGGGACCGACGACGTGGACTTCCTGTCACGACTGTCACTGCCGCTTCCTACCCCTACCAGCGATGCCTTATCGACGCGGGGCATGGGTCGAATAGTAGGTCTCTGGGTCGGGGCCGCGGCGGCTCCACGGGACGTGGATCTCCGATTCTCTTTCTCTGCAGACAATTTACGGAGAGCATTGGCGCTGGGGATTTTGTCGGAGCTTGAAGCAGGGGTTAGAGATCTGGAAGGTCGGTGAGCGGTAACTTTGACGGCGGAGGCGCCGCCGTCGCCTCCGTCTCGGTCTTTCATCCGGCGAGTGGATGAAGTGGACATGGGAAGTTGAGGTAAAAGTAAGAATCAAATTACTATGGGAGAGATTTCTGTGGCAAACAGGAAGAAGAAAGTGGCAGATTTTCTCAGAAGAGGAGGGAATGACGAAACCCGAAAATTGAAAGGGATTCCCTACGCAACTTTGATGTAGGCGGGAAGTGATTGAAATTTTGAGTTTTGAAAAATTGGGAGCTGGATCGGAGGGGGAGAAAAAAAAAAAAAAAAAAAAAGGGGGAAACTGAGCAAAATAAATAAAAATGAGAGCTATCTTCACTTGAGTCAAAATATTTTTTTAAATTACCTAAATGCCAACGCCCCTTTAATTGAGATAATGAGAGAGAATAAACTGAGAAAGAGCGAGAGAGAAATTAATAATTATTTGACACTTTTTAAAATTCAACATTACGCGCTCATAAACACTGAAAATCATAAATAAGCTACTAATAACAATCTCTCCAGTCATGTGATTAAAGGGTATTTGGATGGCAACCAAACCATGGTTTCACAAGTGTTTTTACAGTTTACGAAGTAAATATATAGAGGATTTTACCTCGTTTTACGAAAAAATACTTCTAAGAAACACTTTTGCAATTGCCAAACACCCCTTAAATCTTGTTTTTCAGTCACAAGTGGGATGGCCCAAAAGCCATGTCAAACAGGTCAAAAATTATAGATCGAGCTTATGGCACTAATAGGCTCTTTTTGGCTCCACAAACGCCGAGACAAATGGACTCTAATAGCCTATATTCACGTGTTTAGTGCATATAATATATTACTTTCAATTTTTAATATAAAAATTAGTTTGATATTTGATTTAGTTTTAAATATAATATTTTAATTTACTTTATCCTTTTTATATTTACCTACTCCTCCAATTCTTAATACAAAACCTATTTAACTAATTTAATTATGTTAAAGAAATTAGGTAAGTTAATTATAAGAAATATGACACGTTTTTTCTAAAATACCATAATCATCTTTCTTAATACATCCTCTTTCTCTTCTAATTGGTTATGGTTGATGAAGAATCCACAAAGGATAATTTAGAAAAAAGTGATAAATAATGGAAATGGGTCTTATATTTAAGATCAAAACCGATTCAACAATTGAGTCATGTATTAAGGACCGGAAGAGTATTTTTTAAGATAGTCTTTGTAATAGTTATACGTGTTTAATTTTAACTAATATACATAATTAGTAAGGATATTTTAAATAAGATAATATCTATTTATTACAAATAATTAAATTAATTAATTTTATTAATCTACTCAAATTAGTCACATATCTCTAATATTAAAGATCGTATGTAGTATGGGTTAATATATTGTAAATTTCTTTTTTTTTTTTTATCAGAAAAATATATTGTAAATTTCTTGAAGTTGTATAATTTAATGAGACAGATGCGACGTTATGCCTGATTAGATTTTGATGTATTGAATTGATTTCTCTAATTATTAAAAGAAAATCCCCGCCAACCGTCCAAACTCTTGTAGGGGCCGCTGAGATATCCATGGTCACGCGGATAACATGTATGCATTCATAGTCCATTCGAGCCAAGATAAGCGTAAGGAAGATGATTGAAAATAGTTTCAAGTGACCAAGGCTACTCAAAATTAGTCTGGCTTACAGGTCAAACTCAAGTTTAGGTCTATTTTTATAAGCATAATTCAGGATCAGGGTGTAATTTTAATAATAAAATTTTACACTAAGAGTATCTGGTACCATTTAGTTTTGAAAGATGCAAAACTATACATAAACTATGTTTGATACAATGGTAAAAAAATAACTTATAAGTGGGATAAGCCAGTTTACATGTTTAGAAACTGTTTGGTTGAACTTTTAACCAATCTAACTTATGAGTAAAAAGCTTTTTTTTTAAAGCATGATTGTAAAAGTGCATAAAACTTGGGGGAAATTTCACTGTAGGACCGCAGAAGGCAAATAATTTCAAAGAGCCCCCAAAACTTTCTGAAACCTCACTGCAGGACCAAGGGACCAATCTGATATTAATTTTTAGAGTGAGATTACAATAATAACCCCTCCCTTTTTATTTTATTAAAAAATAAATATTTACCGGAGTTACTGTTCCGGCCACCGGAGGTCGGAGGTCCGGCCACCGGCGCTCAGGTGGCCGCCGTCGGGATCCGGTCACCGGTGGCCGGAACAGTAACTCCGGCGGGACCTCCGGTGGCCGGAGTTTTTTTGTTTAAAACAAAGTGACCAAGGGAGGGTTTGAACCCAGGACCCCTTGGCACACCAAAAGACTTGTAACCACCAAGCCAGGCAACCCATTCAATCATAAAATGCAAATAAAACTACATATAACAAAATAAACGCAACAGTCCAAATGTAAGTGAACAAGTGAAATTAGACGATTTACAAGTGGAATTCAGAAATTTGCAACAAAAGTTAGGAAATTTACAAATAACATAATAGAAGTCAGAACCCAAAATGCAAGTGTTTAGGTGCAAATGAGCAAGTAAAATTTGAAGATTTACAATAAAATTTATGGATTTACAACCCAAATTTGACAAACACAAGAGAATTCACAACCTAAAATGTAAGTGTTTGAATGTAAGTGAACAAGTGAAATTAGACGATTTACAAGTGTAATTCAGCAATTTACAACAAAAATTAGACAATTTACAAATAACATAATAGAAGTCATAACCCAAATGCAAGTGTTTAAGTGCAAATGAGCAAGTGAAATTTGAAGATTTACAATAAAAGTTTATGGATTTACAACCCAAATTTGGCAAACACAAGAGAATTCACAACCCAAAATGTAAGTGTTTGAGTGTAAGTGAACAAGTGAAATTAGACGATTTACAAGTGTAATTCAGCAATTTACAACAAAAATTAGACAATTTACAAATAACATAATAGAAGTCATAACCCCAAATGCAAGTGTTTAAGTGCAAATGAGCAAGTGAAATTTGAAGATTTACAATAAAATTTTATGAATTTACAACCCAAATTTGGTAAACACAAGAGAATTCACAACCCAAAATGTAAGGTTTGAGTGTAAGTGAACAAGTGAAATTAGACGATTTACAAGTGGAATTTAGAAATTTACAACAAAAATTAGGCAATTTACAAATAACATAATAGAAGTCATAACCCCAAATGCAAGTGTTTAAGTGCAAATGAACAAGTGAAATTGTCGAATTTCACTTGTAACTCTATAAACTTTTGTTGTAAATCTTCAAATTTTATTTGCTCATTTACACTTAAACACTTGTATTTGGGATTATGAGTTCCATTATGTTATTTGTAAATTGCCTAATTTTTGTTGTAAATTGCTGAATTCCACTTGTAAATCATCTAATTTCACTTGCTCACTTACACTCAAACACTTATATTTTTGGTTGTGAATTCTCTTGTGTTTACCAAATTTGGGTTGTAAATCCATAAACTTTTATTGTAAATCTTCAAATTTTACTTGCTCATTTGCACTTAAACACTTGTATTTTGGGTTATGACTTCTATTATGTTATTTGTAAATTGCCTAACTTTTGTTGCAAATTTCTGAATTTCACTTGTAAATCGTCTAATTTCACTTGTTTACTTACATTTGGACTGTTGCGTTTATTTTGTTATATGTAGTTTTATTTGCATTTTATGATTGAATGGGTTGCTTGGCTTGGTGGTTACAAGTCTTTTGGTGTGCCAAGGGGTCCTGGGTTCAAACCCTCCCTTGGCCACTTTGTTTTAAACAAAAAAACTCCGGCCACCGGAGGTCCCGCCGGAGTTACTGTTCCGGCCACCGGTGACCGGACCCCGACGGCGGCCACCTGAGCGCTGGTGGCCGGACCTCCGACCTCCGGTGGCCGGAACAGTAACTCCGGTAAATATTTATTTTTTAATAAAATAAAAAGGGAGGGGTATTATTGTAATCTCACTCTAAAAATTAATATCAAATTGGTCCCTTGGTCTTGCAGTGAGGTTTCAGAAAGTTTTGGGGGCTCTTTGATATTAATTGTCTTCTGCGGTCCTATAGTGAAATTTTCCCTAAAACTTATTTATGACTTATGCAAAAGTAGCCTTTTAAAATAAAAAATATTTTTACCATCATGTTTACGTTGTTCTTATGCTTCTATCTACATATTTCTTGTGATTTACAATTGGTTTTAAATTATTTATTTTTAATATTCTCTTAAGTAAAATTAATTTTTACAATATTTTAATTTTTAATATTATTTTTTATTTTATATTTATATAAATTGTGCATAGCATATCATTCAATTAATTATATAATATTATTTGGTTAAAAAATTTTACATTACTATGATTTCTAATTTAAATATAGTTTATTTATTAAATATAACTTCTTCCTATTATAATAATTTAAAATTATTATATTTTATAAATTCATATTTTTATAATTATTTTTAACTATTTAAATAAAAGTTATATATATTTTGGTCATTTTATAAAACTAAACTTATTTATTTAATCATCATCCAAATAACTTTTTTTACTTTACAAACTTATAAAATTCAATCTATATATAAATCATATTATATAATCTAATTTTTATCCAATTTTAATTTTTTAAAAATTATATTAAAAATGGGTTTTATTTTTTTTACCACTAATTCAAATGCAGTGATAATTATTTTAGGAGCAAATTTCCCACAACGGTTGAGAAGGCTACACTGGCGTTACTATTAGAGCAAATTACAAATAAAAACCCCTAATATATAAAATTATGATTAGGAACTCTGAATTTGAAAAATAGCAAATAAGGATCGGGTCTCACTTTTATAAATATGAAATGTTGGTGAAATGTCTAAAATACCCCTTAGTCAAATTGTGATTTGATCTACTGAAATTATTACTCGCTAAAATGAACTTGTCATTTCACATAGTCAATTCATCATTTAGCAAACCCTTAATCAAGTTGTGATTTGATCTACTAAAGTTGTCATTTGTTAAAATGAACTTGTCATTTCTCATAGTCAACTTGTCATTGAGCTGAAGGGTATTTCAGACATTTCAATATGATTTCATATTTGCAAAAATAAGATCGGGTCCTTACTTACTATTTTCTAAATTTAGGGTCTTAAATCATAATTTTATATTTTGGGAGTCATTATTTGCAATGTTCCCTTACTATTATCCTCG